TCTGTGTCTTTTGGTTGGAGCATTTAATCCATTCACGTTTAAAGTAATTATAGATATGTATGCTCCTTTGACCATTTTCTTAATTGTTTTGGGTTTGTTTTTGTAGGTCCTTTCTTTCTCTTGTGTTTCCCACTTAGAGAAGTTCCTTTAGCATTTGTTGTAGAGCTGGTTTGGTGGTGCTGAATTCTTTTAGCTTTTGCTTGTCTGTAAAGCTTTTGATTTCTCCATCAAATCTGAATGAGACCCTTGCCAGGTAGAGTAATCTTGGTTGTAGGTTCTTCCCTTTCATCACTTTAAGTATATCATGCCCCTCCCTTCTGGCTTGTAGAGTTTCTGCTGAGAAATCAGCTGTTAGCCTTATGGGAGTTCCCTTGTATGTTATTTGTTGTTTTTCCCTTGCTGCTTTCAATAATTTTTCTTTGTCTTTAATTTTTACCAATTTGATTACTATGTGTCTCGGTGTGTTTCTCCTTGGGTTTATCCTGTATGGGACTCGCTGCGCCTCCTGGACTTGGGTGGCTATTTCCTCTCCCATGTTAGGGAAGTTTTCGACTATAATCTCTTCAAATATTTTCTCTGGTCCTTTCTCTCTCTCTTCTCCTTCTGGGACCCCTATAATGTGAATGCTATTGCGTTTAATGTTGTCCCAGAGGTCTCATAGGCTGTCTTCATTTCTTTTCATTCTTTTTTCTTTATTCTGTTCTGCAGCAGTGAATTCCACCATTCTGTCTTTCAGGTCACTTATCCGTTCTTCTGCCTCAGTTATTCTGCTATTGATTTCTTCTAGTGTAGTTTTCATTTCAGTTATTGTATTGTTCATCTCCGTTTGTTTGTTCTTTAATTCTTCTAGGTCTTTGTTAAACATTTCTTGCATCTTCTTGATCTTTGCCTCCATTGTTTTTCCAAGGTCCCGGATCATCTTCACTATCATTATTCTGAATTCTTTTTCTGGAAGGTTGCCTATCTCCACTTCATTTAGTTGTTTTTCTGGGGTTTTATCTTGTTCCTTCATCTGGTACATAGCCCTCTGCCTTTTCATCTTGTCTATCTTTCTGTGAATGTGGTTTTTGTTCCACAGGCTGCAGGATTGTAGTTCTTCTTGCTTCTGCTGTCTGCCCTCTGGTGGATGAGGCTATCTAAGAGGCTTGTGTACGTTTCTACACTCACTTTTTAAATATGTATCATTCACAAAATCGATTCTATTCTCAGACACAAGAATGTGCTTATTAAATTACGAGGTCCTGAAAGGGGGACTATTTCATATGCTTCATTCTCAGAGAGCAATGCAATAAAATGAGAAATAATCAACCAATCAATAAAAAGCACCAGAGGCATGGCTATTACAAAAATAATGCCTGGGACGGCAGGGCATGGAGGAGTGCGGTGAGTCCCAGCTGACTGCGGGCTGCAGCGATGTGCACCCGGGCGACGATCACAGCTGCGGCGCCCCCTCATGGGCCCCCAAGGACGCCTGGATGAGCACACACTCTAAGTATTTAGAAATGATGGAATTAGATATAGGAGATGCCACCTAAGTTTATATAGCATATTGGTTTACCTGGACCTCATGGAGAGTAAAAGTTGGCACATGAAGTAAACTGTGTGGGATTATCAGATCTCCAGCTCATCTGCCTTCTTAGTACTGAGAAGGACAAGGGTTACAGACAGTGGTGCCTACACCCGTCAGTGCTTCCCTCAGCCATAACAGGATAAGGGAGATCTTGAAGGCATCTCGAAAATTGCAAGGTGATCCAGATTTGCCGATGTCTTTTACTTCCACCATAGTGGAGTCTGACTCCACAATAGTCTATTACAAACCTACTGATGGATTTATGCTGCCAGATCCTCAAAATATTTCCCTTAGAAGATGACACCTATACTTCCCGATGCTTGCTCTATTCACACAAGATTGGATTGAGACCCCTCAGCCTGATTCATCTTTTATCTCAGACCTAGTCAGGGTTGACTTAGCTGGGCCCATTCTGTAAGTTTTCTTTTCAAGAATAAAACTTTCCCAGATAGAGGAATTAATTTTATTGAAAAATATAGGCCAGTTGCTCTAGAACTTTCTCATCTGGAGACAGTTTAATTATAGTTGTACACAAGTTTATGCCTAGGGTGTGCTCAGAAGGGTAGAACATTGCTGAGGCTGCTACCTCTTTCCATTACTCAACCCTCTCAGTGCCTTTGGGTCACTATAGCTAGCCTGGAGTGGCATTTCATGCACACTTTGACACCCGGAGAGTTTCCTTTGTCTGCTTTTTCATCCCCAATAGAAAGTATTCTTTCAACTGCTTTTTTTCATGTTGCAATTACTGTTACTTCCCTCTTTGGTTGACTTTAAATCAAAACTAAAAATATCCTTCTCCAGAGTGTAAAATTAAATGTCTAGATTAATAGGGACCAGAGAATTGCTACCTACACGAGTACTGGGTCTCTTTTTCCATTCTTATTACCACCACCTGTACTGTATCATAGCTAGAATATTACAAGGGAGATAGTAGGGGACAGTGTTAACCTTAAAAACATCTTTCTTAAGTAGACCCAGGTTTTCCACCTTTGTTAATACCTCCCAATTAAGTTGCCTAAAGTATAAACAATTATATGGAAAAGATGTTTCAAGTGACATTTTGGGGCATATAATAGTCCAAATTATAAATGACTTAAAAGTTTAAGGCAAGGCTGAGCAAAATTTTTCTGGAAAGGGCCAGAAAGGAAATATTTTAGGCTTTTCAGGTCATATAGGCTTTCTCACAACTTCTCAGCTCTGCTGTTTGTAGGACAAAAATAACCATAGACAGTATCTAAATGAATGGATATGGCTGTATTCCAATAAAACTTATTTGCAAATGCAGGGCCATAGTTTGCCAATCCCTGGTCGGGGGAAATAGTCAATAAACATATATAGCTAATGAATGGTATGTTATGTATCCATTAAAAATTAATAATGAATATACTGAAAAACATGAGAAAATATTTAGTAACAAAAAGCAAGATACAAAAGTGTATGAATGCATACGATTATGGCTATAAATAACACACCAAGTATATAATAAAAAGATGACAAAATAAATTACTAACTGGTTATAACAGGATGGCAGGGCAGGAAATGCATGACTTTGTCTTTCTTCAATATTTTAGTTTTTCTCTATTTGTATTACTTTTATAATAAAAATGTTTTAAAATAAATAAATAAAAATAATGCCTGGATCAGAAGGGAACAAATGAGTAGGGAAAAAAAAGCAATGAAAATAACAAACTTACAGGATACTGCCAAATAGGGACTTGAAGGAAAAATATATTGCTCTAGATATTCCTATATTCAAAGTAAGGTATCTGAAGCATTATGAGAGAAGACTGTGCTTAAACTAACCTTAAAAAAATGTAGAAAGTAGCCAGCCACAAGAAGGAAGAGGGAGATAAAATCCAAAGCAGAAAAAAATTGGAAAAACACAAAAAGCAAATCTGGTGAACATCTTAATACATGCTAAGAGAAACGCAGTTCAAAGTATAATCGCTGCAGATGATTTCAGAGAGTATAAAGAGCAGTTAGCAAAATTAAAGTGGAACAATAATGGCTGCTTATTTATCAGCTTATTTATCAGCTCCGATAAACTCTTATCTTTACAACAACCCTGTAATAGAGAGAATTTTTTTCTTCATTTTACTTGTAAGGAAACCAAAGCTCAGAGAGAATAGGAATTTAGCCATGAATGAAGCTGTTTTCTCTACACCCAGTTGTCTCTGTTGGGAAAAGAGACAAAGCAGAGAAAAGGGAGAAAAGGATGTGAAGGGCAATGATGGCGAGCTCACAGCCCAGACTTCTATGCACAGTTCAAAATGATCATTATAAAAATCTATTAGAATTCAGTCAAATACAAAAAATTACCTATGATTAACATATGATAAACGTTTGAATAGCTTAGTATTTTCTTCAGACTCTCCAGGAATATCTACTTTGTACCTTATTCTCCACCCCCATTATTTCATTAAATTTCTTTTTTTTTTTGGCCACACCATGCGGCTTTCGGGATCTTAGTTCCCCTAGCAGGGACTGAACCTGGGCCCTCAGCTGTGAAAGCAGGGAGTCCTAACCACTGGATCACCAGGGAATTCCCACATTAAATCTTTATAAAATTCTGAGAATGGCATTTTTACTTATCGCTGTTTAACAGATGAGGAAACCGAGAACTAGAAAAATGAATGACCTGCCAAGGATCATATAGCTAGTGAGTGGTAGGGCTGAGACTCACCCTAATGTCTAGTGTTTCAATATCATAGGATTTTTTAAAAAATTAAATCTATTATTTTTATTTAGACATAATTTATACACCACCAGAAATCCACGTTTCAAAGGCTACAACTCGGTGATTTTCAGTATAGTCACTCTCCTCCCCCAGCCCCTGGCAACCACTAATTTATTTTCTATTTCTATGGATTTGCTTCGTCTGGACATTTCACACAAATGGACTCATAAATATATGGTCTTTTATGTCTGGCTTCTTTTACTTACCGTGTTTTCAAGTTTCATCCCTGTTGTAGCAGGTATCTCAGGATTTAAGAGTTAGGAGAAAACTTATTAGACATCTTCTACCAAATCCTCTCACTTTACAGATGGAGAAACTGAGACTTAACATACCCCATAAATTCAGTGACACCCAAGTCCCCTACCTCCTAATCCTGTGTTTTTTCAACACACTACTAATACCAAGACAATCAGAATAATAAAAAAGAGATTCCACAAACAGATAAAAATATCACATTAATCTGACATACCATATATTAGAAAAAGCATAGGTAAGAAAATCTGGTATCTTGTTAAAGGTTTTCCATTGCTGTGAGGAATCCCGTAAATCATTTACTTCACGCGACACCTGAATGGCGCCAGATGCTTGTGCAGGGAAACAGTGTGTTGTGGCCACAGCATATTACAGGACTTGAAGTTAGATTTTACTTTCTATGTACAAAGGTAACTATTTAAAACAAAAAGTCTTAATTACCCTTAGTGAAAGTTCCAAATTTTCTCCTCCCCAGAGATTCATGCCCTTGTCGTACTGTCCGATTTCATTAAAATAATGCCTATTTATAGCAAAAATTCCTCCAGCCATTGCAGGTGACCTAAAAAGGACACACAAATATTAAATTTATTCCATAAATTCAGTCATTATGGATTTTGGCCAAAGCCATATTAAATATTAGTGATAACAGTTAAAAACTAGAAAACACCCATACTAACTAACACCAAAATTATCTTAATATACACTGAAGTATGTAAAATTACTAAGGTAAAGTCACAACTACCACAAAACAGGCAACAATAGCTTTAACTTAGCTCTCGTCAAATTTTGTAAGCAATCTATTCTAAAACGTTGTCTCGGTGACAGGGAAAATTTTCTTTAGTATGTGAGCTTCCCACAGCGATGATGATTGAATTGGGTAGTGGGAATTTAGAGATCTCCCTTTCTAAAGGCATTAAGTGAATTGCCATATTTACTTCTGGGAAAACCATAATGTTACATAGCATCTTTTTTGGTGGGCCAACAGCAGAGCCCAATAATACCAAACTATGTAGTTTGAAAATAATTACAGATCCATTCATTCATTGTTCCAAAAAGTCTATGTAAAGCCACTATGATGTGTTAGGGATAAATTAGTTAATCAACAAGCAAAGGTGGAAGTAGGGAGACTAGTTAGAGGTTGTGATGGTCCCAGAGGAAGATGATGGCCTCTTGGATAAGGATATAGCAATGAAGGAGATGAGATGTGGCTGAATTCTGTATAGGTTTTGAAGATGGAGCCAGCAGACTTGCTATGGGTGGGATGTGCAGGGTTGGAGGAAGTTTGGCCTGGATAACCTGGAAGATAGCGTTACCAGGCACTGATTTGTTTGTTTGTTTGTCTGTTTTGACCGCGCTGCAGCATGTGGGATCTTAGTTCCCCAACCAGGGATGGAACCCGTGCCCCCTACAGTGGAAGCATGGAGTCCTAACCGCTGGACCGCCAGGGAAGCCCCTAGAGTTACCATGCACTGAGACGGGGAATGCTACGGTGGAACGAAGTTTTTGGTGGGAAGATTCAGTTTTGGACATATCTGAGGTGTCTGTTCAGCATGAAAGTGGAGATGCCAGTAGGCAGCTGGATAGGGGAGTCTGGTGTTCTGAGAGAGGTCGGAGCCTGAGAGTCACCAGTACAAGGTGGATGAGAAGCAATGGGTGAGCGAGGGGAGGTGAAGAGGACAGAACCCTGGGCACTTCAGCAGTGAGAGGTCGGGGAGAAGAGGAGGAATCAGCAAAGGGCATGGAATAAACCAGCGGTGAAGTAGGAGCCAGAGCTGGGGCCTCTGGTGGTCTGGAGGCCATGGGAAGAGTGCCCGTCAAAGAGGAGTGAGAGGCCAGCAGCATGGACATGGCTGACAGGCCACGTGAGACTAGGACTGAGGACTGGACAAGACAGTGTGAAGCTAGCGGGGAGGGGAAAGCCTGACTGCAGTGAGCTTAAAGTTGAGTGAACTGTTTAACAGAACTGGAGAGAGTGATACCGACGACTCTTTCTAGGTGGTTTAATACAAAGGAGAGAAAAGGAAAGGGGAAATGGCTGATAAAATAATTTTATTTTTTTAATTGTGAGAGAGAACAGCATGCCTGTAGTCTGCTAGGAGTCATCCTATCTGGTAACTGGACGAAGCTGGTCCCTGCATGTCCCCCTCCGTGGGGGCCACGAGTGTCGTTGGTAGAAGCTTAAGGCCACGATTTTCCTTGCTTGTTCTAAGTTTCACCCACCTTTTATTTTTGTCATTAGAACTATTGTAAGTAGGGGAAAAAATATATCTTCAGATATGAATGCTAATTCATGGCTAATACCTAAAATTAATTTTTTTCCTTTAACTCTTTAAAACAACCTATTTTTTTCTTACATATATTATTATACATTATAATTGTATTATAATATACCATATGTATAATATATATTCCATATGTAATATATACATATATAATCACACAATTGGTATTATACTGATTTTTTTTAATTGAAGTATAGTTGATTTACAATTTTGTGTTAGTTTCTGGTGTACAGCAAAGTGATTCAAATAGACATATGTATATATTATTTTTCAAATTCTTTTCCATTATAGGTTATTACAAGATACTGAATATAGTTCCCTGTGCTATACAGTAGGTCCTTGTTGATTATTTGTTTTATATAAGGTAGTGTATATATGTTAATCCCAAACTCCTAATTTATTCCTCTCCCACTTTTCCCCTTTGGTAACCATAAGTTTGTTTTCTATGTCTGTGAGTCTGTGAGTCTGTTTCTGTTTTGTAAATAAGTTCATTTGTATCATATTTTAGATTCCACATTATACTGACGTAAGTTTTTTATGGCCTGATTTTTTAAAATTTAACATATTGTGAGAATTTTCCTTTTTAGTTAACTAGCCTTCAAAAATTTTAACTCTATAATATTCTACAAAATATGAATATACTTTTTTAACCATTTCAATATTGAACATTTATGTTGTTTTGATTTTCTTACTAAAATAAATATTGATACAATATATATTTCTGGACCTATCTCTCAACTCCTTAAAGATAAATTGTAAGAAGTAGAATTATTGCATTAAAGAATAAGAATATTTATAAAATTTTTAATTTATATTGCCAAATTTTCAAAAAGCATTTACAAATGTATATATACTAACAGTGTATTAGAGTTCCAAAATGTTACTTTTCAGCAACTGACTCTTAGAAATCCAATTTCCAAATTGAATTTTTACAGCCTAAAAAATACTTAAAATGTGAGATACAGAAATATTACAAAAATTATAAGTCAATTTTTTGGTAAATGGAATATTTCAGCTACTTCTTACTAAAAGTAACTTCATTTTAGATTACTTTGAGATGAACTCAAAAGACTGATGTTTTATTTTTTAAGTTTTTAGTAAATCATGATTTTTACATATTAAGTTTTATTTAAATGAAGTATAACTTTGTTCTTTTTCATCCTGAAGTCTGTAACATTAACAATAGCTACCATTTATACTGATCCCTTCCTCTGTGTCAGGCCTTTAGTTATGTGCTTTACAAGTATTGGCTCATTTAAGGCCCTCAGTAATCCAGAGAGGTAGGTATTATTATTATCATCATCATTTTACAGATGAAGATACTGAAGCTGAGAGAGGTAACTGGCCCAGCTAAGGGCTGCCTTTTTTTTTTTTTTTTTTTTTTTTGGTCGCACCTTGTGGCATCTGGGATCTTAGTTCCCCGACCAGGAATCAAACCTGTGCCCCCTGCCGTGGAAGCGCAGCATCTTAACCGCTGGATCACCAGGGAAGTCCCCTAACGGCTGCCTTAATTCACAACTCCAGGGATGCTAATTACCTATAGTCTTTGTGAACAGTGCCTTCTGGAAATGTGCAGTGCACAGCCTGTGCAGCTGTACATGGCAGCCCTAAACAGCTAACAAGTGATGGCTGGGGCAGAGGAAATATCAGAGTCATACAAAGTTATGTCATACGAAGAGTCATTCGAAGTTATACGAAGGAATCTGCATGTTATCCTAAAGGCAGTGGAAAGACAATAAGCAAGACGGGTGACATGTGCAAAGTGGGGTTTCAAGAAAATTAACGTAGCAACAGAGAGATGGGAATGAAGAGGAGGAGCTGTAGGCCAGACTGTCCCTTAGGGTGTAGAGTCTAAGCCTGGAGCAGTGATGGCTTGGGCCATGAGGACTGTCAGAGAGATGGTCAGATGTGATATGAGAATCATCACAAAGGACGGGTCTCCTGGAGCTGGTTAATCACTGGATTAGAGAAGGCAATGGGAGATCTGGAAGATGGCTATACGGTGTTCATATGTGGTCATGCTTAATGGCTGCATAATCCATTACAGTTCTGGCATAAAGTATTGATACTATATGATTTCCCAATCATTCCTCCCAATTCTTAGGTAGTCTTTATTTCATCCTTGATTTAAGAGGTCAGTTTGCTTACTAAGAGTAGGGGTTCAGGGCAGGGGCAGCTATTGGGATTAAGGGAAATACTAAAGTGGAATGGGAATACCCACTTCTGGGAATGAGTGGATAAAAGGATTGCAAGGCAGCATGAGGCTGGAGACCATCAATGTGCAGAAGAATCAATTCACATCTCTTAAAGGAACAAAGGAAATAGATGGTGGAATTGAACCAGGGTTGGAGCTTTGCAGGGCTATCGTGGCAGAAGTGCAGTGGGATGTGGCAGAAGAGAAGAGAATTTATAGATCAGAAAGTCTAGACCACAGAAGCAGAAAGAAAACTGTGAGGGGTAAAAAGAGAAATCAAAGAACTGGACATCTTGATGATGTCCACGGGTGGGCGTGGGGGGAACAGAGGAGGAAAAAGCCAGGAGGGTCCTGGGTTGTGGCCAAGGAGAGGGATAACTGGTAATTTAGAAGGTGAAGATCCAGGGTATGGCTGTAGGAATAATATTAAATATCTAACATTTATACAGTACTTATTATGGACAGATACTGTTCTAAGCTTTGATATATGTCATTTAATTCTCATAAGAGCCCTGTGAAGTACTGTTATTCTCCAGACTTACAGATAAAGAAATAAGGTGCAGAGAGGTTAAGTAACTCGTTCAAGATCACACAGCTCTAGCTAAATTAAAATAGAGGCAAAGATCAAGGACTTGCTAGGCTATGGTGTTAGAAAATTGACTCATGTGGTTTGTAAAACAAAGAGGTTAACATTAAAGGAGAAGTGAGCCTGGTGTCAAAGTTATCAGTAAATGTGGGGAGTGATCTGGAGGAAGTCTCTTGAGAAATAACCTCATAAGTGCAGTTAGAAGTCATAACATTCAAATGATTCTCACATTTAGAAATATATTTTCCAAGACTGATATTCCAGGAAAATCACATTCATCTCAACCTATAAAATTACAGATGGAAGCACTTGGATAAATATTTTATACATGAATTTGGCAAAGACATCGACTTTTTCTGGGCTATCCACAGTGCTAGTTTTTTGGGTTTTTTTTGCGGTACGCGGGCCTCTCACTGTTGTGGCCTCTCTCGTTGCGGAGCACAGGCTCCGGACGTGCAGCTCAGGGGCCATAGCCTCACGGGCCCAGCCACTCCGCGGCATGTGGGATCCTCCCCAACCGGGGCACGAACCCGTGTCCCCTGCATCGGCAGGCGGACTCTCAACCACTGCGCCACCAGGGAAGCCCAGTGCTAGTATTTTGATCATTGATAAACATGCAACTTGTTCCGGAGAACCAAGTCCACATTTTAAAGCTGGACCTCTGAAATCAAAGGGATACTGACCATGGTGGTATTCCGAACTGGGGTGAGATGCTCATTCCCAGTGAGCGAAACTTAAAGAAACAAAACCTACCACATTCTATTATTACAGACTTCTAGAAACAAGATAAATAATAAAATATTTCTCTTCATTAAGCTTATGAAATCAAAGTCATAATCTCTGAAAGCTTCCCCCTGCTCCCAACACCTATGTGCTATTTTTCCATTACCAGAAGAAATCTCACCGGATAGGTCTAGTAGGCCCTTCTGGTCCATCCATCTCATAAGAGAAAACATGATCCCATTTAAATTGCAGATACCAGTTGAAAGCTCCCCTGACAACAGGAGAGGGCTGGTATTCCAGGGTCACATAATCAATGACATCTATCAGTGGACACACCACCATTCGGGGGTCCTTGGCAATGGCACTCAGCAAGGGCTCCAGCCATACTTTATTCACTTCGCAGTGGCTATCCAGGAACACCAGAACATCCCCTGGGGAGGCAAGAACAGGCGAGTGTTAGTGCATGTGTAGGAAACACCTGACAACCCGAATCACGGCGACAAGCATTTGTCCAGCATTTACTATGTGTTTGGCTATTAAGGTGCTTTCAGCTTCACTGGCAGGAGACAAGAAACACATATTTTATATTGTATCAAAAATGCAGGACATCATGTGCCACAGATACGCAGAAGAAGCTGGTGAACTGTGGGTTAGAGAGGAGTCTGGGGAAGATTCTAAAGAAGCAGATGGAACCGAGCTGACCTTCAATTTTAAAATGTCATTTTATCTCAGCCCAGATTGATCAACCCAATGTCGCAAATGTTTACTGCAAGGAAACCTTCCTTGGTACTTAGTTTGATGCTTGGGATGCAAAGATGCATAATTACTTTTCCTCTTGAATTCAAGCTTTAGTGAGGGTCTATTCTGCTTTGAGAACATGGGAAAACCTGGCATGGCCAAAATAAAGAATATGCGTGTTAAAATATATTAGGTGGTCTCAAATTGGAAGGGACCTCAAAACTCAGGGGCAGAGGTTAGACTTTTTCTTGTAGCCAACATAAAATCATAGGAACGTATGAAAACATCCTATGTTTAGATCAGAAGACTTAGTATTATTAAAATGTTTTATAATCTCCCAAATCAATCTACAGATGCAATTCAATCCTTATCAAAATCCCACTGGTTCTTTTTACAGAAATTGATCCTAAAATTCATATGGAAAGGCAAGGGATCCAAATTAGCTAAAACAATCTTGATAAAGAAGAACAAAGTTGAAGGATTTCCTGCTGTCAAAACTTACTAAAAGGCTACAATAATCAAAACAATATAATAGTGGCATAAGATACTTATAGACCAAAGGTATAGAGTTAATGGTGCAGAAATAAACGAAGCATCTATTGTCAATTGATTTCTGAAAAGGGTACCAAGACAACTCAATTGGGAAAGAATCATTTTTTTCAATAAATATCCTGAGACAACTGGATATCTGCATGAAAAGAATGAAGTTGGACCCCCTAACTCATACCAAACACAAATATTAAGTCAAATGGATAACAGACCTCAAAAGGTAAGAGCTAAAACTATAAAACTCTTAGAAGAAAACAGGCATACATTTTACGACCCTTGAGTTAGGTAATGGTTTCTTAGGTATGACACCAAAAATACAAGCGACAGAAGAAAAAACAAACAAACAGGTAAACTGGACTTCATCAAAACTAAAAACTTTTGTGGTTAAATAGATACCATGAAGGGCTTCCCTGGTGGCGCAGTGGTTGAGAGTCCGCCTGCCGATGTAGGGGACACGGGTTTGTGCACCGGTCCAGGAAGATCCCACATGCCGTGGAGCACCTAAGCCAGTGCGCCACAACTACTGAGCCTGAGCTCTAGAGCCCACGAGCCACAACTACTGAAGCCCGCATGCCTAGAGCCTGCGCTCCGCAACAAGAGAAGCCACTGCAATGAGAAGCCTGCGCACCGCAAAGAAGAGTAGCCCCCACTCGCCACAACTAGAAAAAAGCCCACGCACAGCAACGAAGACCCAACTCAGCCATAAATAAATAAGTAAATAAATAAGTAAGTAAATAAATAAATCTATAGGGAGGACTGGTCCATTCCCTGCCATTGGTTACAAAACAGAGCAGGCCCCAAGACTTCTCTGCTCTCTTAGGTTAATTGGAAGTCTTATTAGACAGCGGAAGTTGAAAACAGTCTCAATTCAGCAATTAGAATTTTCAGGCCCCTGTTACAATCGAAGCTTCCCTGCCTGCATGCAGACCCACCCCCCAACCAGGTGGCCCTGTGGGAGGGTCACTTGCTTTTGCATTAAATCTTCTTAGCTCTTCCTTACTGGTCTCCTTCCCCAGCTTACCCTCTGTGGTTTCAGACCTCACTAAAGCCAAAGGAGGGTAAGAGACAAGTGAATGGGGCAGGGAAGTTCTTTCTTGGTGAGAGAGCAGGGTGCTCTGAGCTGACTCCTTCTATTACAGTGTGGCTGCACGGTGATTTTGAGGACCACCCCCCTTCCCATCCTTGGTAGTCTCTTATCTGCAGTTCCCATAAACTGGGCAAATGCATTCTATCCGGGTGGTCTAGACTCCCACCTCAGCAACTTAGGGTCCTGTGTTCGACCTCTAGCTTCTCCTCTGCTGAGATCTGTCCATCCTTCTAGATAGCCCCATTGGACATGATCTAAGATGACCTTTATTGCTCTCTTACCCAAACATCCATTGTCTGAGCAAACTCTGCCATCAGAACAGATACTAACACTGAAGCAAATGTCCTTGGTTCCGTAGCTAGCCACAGCCCTTCTTTTGCCCTTTTGATTCTCAGGTGAGAAGCCAACATCCGTTCATTTCTCTTCACCCCCAAAAGGTTTCTGGTTTTGTTGTACTGATGTCTGAGGATGTGCTGAGCCCCCAACACAGGAAATTCACATCAAGTTCCTCTCACCAGGATTTAGCAAGCAGCTTTCTCTAAAAATCATCTCTAATTCTAACGATCTGATTCAGTGTAGCTGAGTTTGCTTCTCGGATATCTATTTTGAAATTTCTTTATGGTACTGTGTCCGACAACTCACTTTGGAATATAACATCTGTTGTCTTCATGCCTCAATCAAAACTGAGCTAAAAAGAGCCCCATTTTTAAACATATATAGTTTTTTTTTTTTACTGTTGGCAGCACACACACTGTTCAATTAACACTTTGCATTTTTCACTTAAAATAGCTTCTATAATATTACATAACACAAACATTTTAAAATCATGTCGGCTAATTTGATAGGTGAAAAATACCATCTGTTTCTCCAAAGAAGATATATAAATGGCCAACAAGCACAAGAAAAGATGCTCAACATCATTGGTCATTAAGGAAATGCAAATTAAAAACACAGTGAGGTACCACTTCATATCTACCAGGATGGCTAGAATTAAAACAAGACAAAAAAGACAGAAAATAACAAGTGTTGGTGAGGATGTGGAAAAATTGGAACTCTCATACGTTGCTGGTGGGGATGTAAATGGTTCAGCTGCTGCGGAAAACAGTTTGGCAGCTCCTCAAAAAGTTAAGAAGTAGTACCATGTGACACAGAAATTCCACTAATAGGCACATATTAAAAAGAATTCAGGGACTTCCCTTGTGGAACAGTGGTTAAGAATCCGCCTGCCAATGCAGGGGACACGGGTTTGAGCCCTGGTCCAGGAAGATCACACATGCCACAAAGCAACTAAGCCCATGCGCCACAACTACTGAGCCCGCAGCCCGCATGCCTAGAGCCTGCGCTCCGCAACAAAAGAAGCCACCACAATGAGAAGCCCACGCACCACAATGAAGAGTAGCCCCCGCGGAAGGTTCGGAGCCACGGAGAAGAGTGTAGCGACAGGGGTGCAGAGGGCAAAGCGGAGAGGTTCCCGCACAGAGGATTAGTGCCGACCAGCACTCACCAGCCCGAGAGGCTTGTCTGCTCAGGTGCCGGCTTCTGTCGGATCCCAGGGAGTGGGCTGGGGTTGGCGGCGTGAACACAGCCTGAAGGGGTTAGTGCGCCACGGCTGGCCGGGAGGGAGTCCGGGAAAAGGTCCAGACCTGCCTAAGAGGCAAGAGACTTTTTCTTACCTCTTTGTGTCCTGGTGCGTGAGGAGAGGGAATTAAGAGCGCTGCTTAAAGGAGCTCCAGAGACGGGCGCGAGCCGCGGTTAAAAGCACGGACCCCAGAGGCCGGCATGAGACGCTAAGGATGCTGCTGCCGCCACCAAGAAGCCTGTGTGCGAGCACAGGTCACTCTCCACACCCCCCTTCCGGAGCCTGTGCAACCCGCCACTGCCAGGGTCCCGGGATCCAGGGACAACTCACCCGGGAGAACTCACGGCGCCTCAGGCTGCTGCAACGTCACGCCGGCCTCTGCCGCCGCAGGCTCGCCCTGCACTCCGTGCCCCTCCCTCCCCCCGGCCTGAGTGAGCCAGAGCCCCCGAATCAGCGGCTCCTTTAACCCCGTCCTGTCTGAGCGAAGAACAGACGCCCTCCAGCGACCTACACGCAGGGGCGGGGCCAAATCCAAAGCTGAGCCCCGGGAGCTGTGGGAACAAAGAAGAGAAAGGGAAATCTCTCCCAGCAGCCTCAGTGGCAGCGGATTAAAGCTCCACAATCAACTTGAGGTACCTGCATCTGTGGAATACATGAATAGACAACGAACCATCCCAAATTGAGGGGGTGGACTTTGGGAGCAGAGATATATTATTTTTTCCCCTTTTCCTCTTTTTGTGAGTGTGTATGTGTATGCTTCTATGTGTGATTTTTGTCTGTATAGCTTTGCTTTTACCATTTGTCCTAGGGTTCTGTCTGTCCGTTTTCTTTTTTTAGTATAGCTTTCAGTGCTTGTTATCATTGGTGGATTTGTTTTTTTGGTTTGGTTTTTCTTTCTTTCTTTTTAATTACTTGAAAAAAATTTTTACTAATTATTTTTTGTTTTTTATTTTAATAACTTTTTTAAAAAAATATTTTTCTTTCTTTCTTTTGTTCTCCCTTTTATTCTGAGCCGTGTGGATGAAAGGCTCTTGGTGCTCCAGCCAGGCGTCAGAGCTGTGCCTCTGAGGTGGGAGAGCCAAGTTCAGGACATTGGTCCACCAGAGACCTCCCAGCTCCATGTAATATCAAACGGCAAAAATCTCCCAGAGATCTCCATCTCAATGCCAAGACCCAGCTCCACTCAATGACTAGCAAGCTATAGTGCTGGACACCCTATGCCAAACAACTAGCAAGACAGGAACACAACCCCACCCATTAGCAGAGAGGCTACCTAAAATCATAATAAGTTCACAGACACCCCAAATCACACCACCAGACGTGGACCTGCCCACCAGAAAGACAATTTCCAGCCTCATCCACCAGAACTCAGGCACTAGTCCCCTCCACCAGGAAGCCTACACAACACACTGAACCAACCTTAGCCACTGGGGGCAGACACCAAAAACAACGGGAACTACGAACCTGCAGGCTGTGAA